TTATCCAGCCTCAGTCCCTCAGTCCTGGGCCCCGTCTCTGCCTCTCTTTCTGCCTTCCACAGTCCTCTGGAGACCTGGTCGACCCTCCCAATAAGCACTTTCCTCCTGCAGGGAGCGCTCCAGTCCTGCTCACGCCGACCTGCACGTGCCTCACCAGCCGTCTTCTTGATGTGGTTGTTGCCTGCTATCCCCCAAGTCACCATTGTGTCCCCTAAAATGTGTTTCTGCCCCTGTGTTCTCAATAGTTCCCTCAGCCTCTCTTTCCCTCAGATATCAGTTATCAAGACGCACCCTAAGGGAGCTCTGGTGGCCTAGTGGCAAGAAGCTGCACTGCCATCCCAGAGGTATGCAGCTTGAATCCACCAGGTACTCTGCTGGAGAAGGAGGGGCAATCTCCTCCTGTACAAGTCAGATCTGATTTGTCCATACACACAAAAAATAATAAAATAAAATAAGACAAAAAGACCCATCCTAGAAAATTCCATTTCTTGAAATATGGTCATTAAAATAGTTTTCAAATGTCCATTTGGAGTGCAAGATCAAATGAAACATCTTTGTAAATGGTTAGACAACTTTGTAATAAAATAAAGGAAGCTTTTCAGCTTGATGGGGGAGGTAGCAGAGGGGGAGGGGAGGGGAAAAGACAGAGAGGGAGAGGAGAGGAGGGGAGGGGTGGAGAGGAGAGGAGAGGAGAGGAGAGGAGAGGAGAGGAGAGGAGAGGAGAGGAGAGGAGAGGAGAGAAGAGGAGAGGAGAGAAGAGGAGAGGAGAGAGAATGCTAACCCTGGAAAATAAACATGAAAAGTTAAGCTTTCCTGGGGTCATTAAGCAATTCTTATGTCACCAGAGTTAGGGTGTTAAGAATCTTGCAGAGACAAGAGAAAAATCCTTGAACTCATGTGAGTGTAGGGGTTGGAAGTGAGATCCAGATAGATAGGTTATATCTTTAAGTTTTGTCTTATTTATTTAAAAAAAAACCCAAAACACCAACATTAAAAACCCTTAAACTCATTGCCATTGAGATGGAACCAAGTCACAGCTGACCCTCCAGCGGGCTTTCCAAGGCTATAAATTGCATCAGAAGAGACTGCCCGTTTTTATCACTCAGAGAAACTGCTGGATTAGAACCACCAACTTTTGTGTTGGCAGCAAAAATCCTTCCCCACTAGGCCAGTAGTATAGGACTAAAAAGTCCACCCATTAGCAAAGATTGATGGCAAGATACTTCTATGATAACAATGGATCTAGGTTTGTAATATCATTGATGTTGTGTACTGTAGAGCAGCAACTGACCCTCTGGTGGGTTTTCAGAGGCAATTAATCACATGGGAGTAAACTGCAGAGCAGCTGGTGGATTTGAACCGTGTGTCTTTGGTATTGCAGCACAGCATCTAGTCACTAGGCCCCAGAACTCCCTGAAATTAGTGTGCTTGGCAAAAGATGAGCCGCAATAGTTGGGAAAAACCTCAATCCAGATGACATGGAACACTGATCATATGTTTCTAACCCCAAGTACCAAACAGAAATGAGCCTAATAAACAGGACAAACATTAGAATGCCACATCCAAGCTCTTTGGAAAATAAAATTAACAAGTATACATTATAGATTAAGTCTTTTTCAGGAAATTAAAATGAGGTAGAAAGATGAGAAGATAACAAATGTCTGATGGAGAAAAAAATGAGCTGGATTTATAAAAGAGAAAATTTTTGAAAATGAAAAATAGTCATTAAAATGTAGAAAAAAAACCCCACAAACAATGTAAAAGGAGATTAGATACGGCCAAAGAAGGAATTAGAGTTAGCCAGAATGAAGCTCCAAGAGATGAAGAAAAGAGAACTATGAGGGTCAGATTAAGAAACATGGAGGAATTGATGTTAGGTGCTGTCAAGTCGACTGTGATCCATAGCGACCCTGTGAGCAGCAGATCTGAACCTTGTCCTATCCTGAACCATCCTCACAATCTCCTTGTTACAGTCACCACACCAATCCATTTCTTGGAGGGTCTTCCTCTCTCTCTCTGACCCTCCACCATACCCAGAGTGATGTTCTCTTTCAAGACTGGCTTCTCCTGAAAACATGTCCAAAGTGTGTGAGACAAAATAAAATCTCACTCTCCTTGCCATTAAGGAGCATCTTGGTTGCAATTCCTCCAAGAAAGATGTTTGTTCTTTTTGCAGTGTGCTTCTCCAGTATCACAATTCAAAGGGATCATTTGTTCTTCTGTCATATTAATTCCTTTTCCAACTTTCAGATGCATAGGAAGCAGTTGAAAACTCCACAGCTTAGACCTTATTCTTTAAAGTGTCACGGTTGCATTTAGGACTTTGGAAAGGTCTTTAATGGCAGATTTTCCCAAAGCAACACATCTTTTGATTGCTTGACAGTTGCCAGTTTGGTTGTTGATTGTGGACTAAGTAAAATGAAGTCATCAACAACTTTAATGTTTTCTCCCTCTATTGTGATGTTGTTGCCTATTGGTCCAGTGGTGAGGACTTATCTTTTGTCTATGTTGAGATGCAATACACATTGAAGGCTGTAGTCTTTAATCTTCTGCAGCAAGTGCTTCAAATACTCTTCACTCTCTGCAAGCAAAGTTGTGCCATCTGTGTAATGCAGGTTGTTGATGAGTCCTCCTCCAATGCTGATACCACTTTCTTCTTCAAAGATTCTTCTTAAATTATTTGCTCAGCATACATACTGGATAGGTATGGAGAAAGGGTATAGAGAAAGGTCATGCAATATTAATAATATTGTTTGATAATGTTCACACTCAATCAGATCACCACTTGTTGGAACGAAAATAGGGATCTCTTCTACTCAGTTGGCCAGGTAGCTGTCTTCCAAATTTCTTGACTCTGACACATACCTTTTCCAATTTTAAATCATGCAATGTCCCTTGTTGTGTTCAGACAACAACTTCTTGGTGTGTGTGAGCAAAATTAAGTGTCCTAGGGTTTCCATTTTTCTTACTATTATCCTAATTTGTTATGATCTCCACATACAAAGGCAAAAACCTTTGTATAGTCAATAAGACACAAGTAAACATCTTTTGGTATTCTCTGCTTTCTGATAATGTTTATCTGACATCAGCAATGATATCTCTTGTGCCACTACCTCTTTTGAATAAAATCTTGACTTTCTGGTAGTTGCCTGTTAATGTACTTCTTCTAGCCATTTTTTTTCTTTCTCCTTTTCTTTTCTTTTCTTTTCTTTTCTTTTTTTTCTACTAAACTTTAGCAAGATTTTACTTTCAGATGATATTAATGAGACTGCTTGATAATTTCCACATTCTATTTGATCATCACTTTTTGGAATGAGAATAAATATGGATCTCTTTCAGTCAGTTGGTCAGGTAGCTATTTTCAAAATTTCCTGGCACAGGTTGATGCGCACACCAAGGGCTGCATCTTTTTGTTGAAACACCTCAACTGGTATTCCATCAATTCGTGGCACCTTATTTTTTTACAGCACCTTCAGTGCAGCTTGGATGTCTTCCTTCATTATCGTTCATTCTTAATCCTATGTTAGTTCTTGAAATGGTTCAGTGTTGACCAATTCTATCTGGTAAAATGACTCTGTATATCCCTTCCATCTTCTTTTGCTGCTTCCTACATCATAAGATTTTACCCATAGAATTCTCTAGTATTACAACTTAAGACTTGAATCTGTTCGTCAGTTCTTTCAACTTGAAAAAATGTGTGCCTTCTTCCCTTTTGATGTTCCAACTCCATCCAGTTCTTTGCACATTCCATTATAATACTTTGTTGTGTCTTCTTGGGCTGCCTTTTGAAATCTTCTGTTCAGCTCTCTTATATTTCTACCTTTGTTTTGACCTTTCTGTGTTCCAGTGCAAGCTTCATAGTCTCTTCTGACATCTGTTATTTGTTATTTATTCTGACATTTGTTATTTTCTTTCTCTCCTGTCCTTGCAGTGATCTTTTGCTTTCTTCAACGATGATATCCTTGATATCATTCCACGACTCATCTGTTCTTTGGTCATTAGTTCAATGCATCAAATCTATTCTTAAGATGGTTTTTAGATTCAAATGGAATAGACTCAAAGACATATTTGCTCTTGGGGACTTGCTTTCATTTTCTTCAGTTTCAGTCTGTACGTACAAATGGTCTGCTTCAAGGCTATCATAGAGGTTCTTCTCCAATGTCTCTCTCCACAGATGCAGTCAATCTGATTCCATTTTTTTTGTTGTTATTTGCTGTTAGGTCAGAACTGACTCATAGCTAACTGATCCTCCATTGGCTTTTCAGAGGCAGTAAATTGCATGGGAGGAGATTTCTCCATCTCTTTCCTGTGGAGCAGCTGGTGGATTCAAACCACACGCCCTTAGGTTTCCAGAACAACTCACTACTACTGAGCCAGCACAGTTCCCTGTGTCTATAAGAGCATACTTTAAAACAAGGAAGAACATCACCTCCAGCAAGGCCAACCAGCCTACACTGCTCTGAGGCCAGCAGGAGCTCTGCCCCAGGCTGGTTGCCCCAGCCCTTGACACACCCTCCACATAGCCTAGACCAGAAGTGCCACCTGGTTCACATCTTGGGGCCTCAATCACCACTCAGAGGAGTAGAAACTGTGGCTGACTGGCCCCCTCAAATCCAGTCTTCTGCTGGGCTTCCAGATATACTTTCTGTCAGATATAAAGCAGAGCGCAGAGGGCGCAGCAACTGCCATATTTTTCTTTCACTGTCCAGCCCAATCATTCTATTTTCTATTTCCCATTGCATACATATTTATGATATTTGCATGCTTGCTTGTTTCACAGCTTACATGGAGGATAGGATGTGAAAACCAAGTATGAAGAGGTTCAAGAAATAGAGATTCAAGAAGAGAATTGAGCACTGAGGCATCTGAGATTTGCAACTAGCAATGCAATTTTCCTTACAGAGGGACATCATGCTTGGGAGGGTGGAGGGACAGCGCAGGAGAGGAAGGCCCTCTATGAGGTGGATTGATTCAGTGACTGGGATCATTGGGATGGGAGTGTCAGAGACAGTGCGATTGGCACAGGACAGAGCGGAGTTTAGGGCTGTTGTACATAGGGTTGCTATGAGTCGCAAGTGACTCGACGGCACATAACAACAATAACAACAACGTATGAGGACATCTACCTTTATTAAGAAATTATATTCAACAACCGTGTCCTTGATTGTTTTGCGTTTTCCTGTTTCGATTCTATTTTTATTCTATGTGGTGGTAAACAAAGATCATTACAGACAAAAACTGTAATTTTGTTATCTTTGATTCAATGGAATTTCTTTACTTAAAAAAAAAAGAAGAGAATTGAAAGACAGTATTTGAAGTAGCTATGAGTCATCTACAATTTGAAGGCACCTAACAACCACAACAACAATGCTAATAATTTTTGAAAACTGATGAAAAAGGATTTGGCTTTTGCGAGCCAAAAGTAAACACAAATCCATGCCCTGGTTCCCGCTGACTATTAGTTTTCTGGAGACAGTCTGCTTTTTGCTCCACAACAAGTGCCCCACTTCCCTCTCTTGGGGTTCAGGGAGAGATTTACCCGCAGCACCAGCCGCATGGAGATGAGGCTGTCCAGGCCCGAGTGGTCCAGCTGAAAGTGCTGTTCAAGGGTGAGGTCCGCACAGGAGAGCATCTGGCACAAAGGGAATTCCAGCACCCCCAGAGCGTAGTCCTGGTCATCATCCAGCACCTACACGGTGGGGGGGCGCAATCACGTAACAAGAGGAAAACCAAGCTCCACCCTCATCACCCCAAATCTGGGCTCCACTCAGTCTGGGTTTCCTTCAGTAAACATGTGCTGTGTTACTACTGGCATCTGGTCCTGTTCTGAGAATGAAGACCTGAGTCAGGCCAGCCTGCTCTCTGCCTTTGACTAGGGAAGGAAAGTGACTCAGAATAGAGACGGCGATGTTCTGAATGAGGCATTTGGGGACAATGAGTTGTGCTGTCCCACAATGGGACATCCAGACAGGGTTCCTGGCTCCAGAGAAGAGAGTGCTGAAGAATGTCTCAAAAGTTACCAGCTCCACCACTTGCCAGTCACGAGCTCTTGGGCAGGTTATTGTATAAGCCTCTATTTGCTCAGGCATGATTATGGTGTCTCTTTGCCAAAGATATTTGTGAAGATAAAATTAAATCTTTTTTTTTGAGGGTAAAATAGTCATGATAGATTTATTAGAACATTACATCTCCAAAAGGGTAAATAAAGCTCCTCCCTGAAAAGAAATATGGAAAGGAAGCAGCTGGTATTGAGGTGAGGCTCTGTTTATGGCCTCCTTATCTGGGTGGGCCTTAGGGCTGGGGTTTGGCCAATGAGATGATGCCATTGTTGTTGTTGTTGATTACCTCTGAGTCACAGCGACCTTATGACCAAAAGGCCTGAAGCCCCTCTACAACTATCGATATTTATCAAAGTTCATAGAGTTTTCAGAAGCAAAAGGAGACAATGCCATAGAGAGTTCAACGTTTAGAGGGTGGTTCTTATTTTGGTCTCTGTTTTCTGCTGTCACTCATGCACCCAAAGTATCCCTTGGTGCACTCATAGCACCAATTCTTTATTATTATTTTTATTATTATTATTATTATTATTATTATTATTATTAATTTTAATGAAAATGTAGAGATACTTTGGATTTCTATTCATTCATTGCTGCAGTTTCCTCCCTGCCCACCCCTCATCCCATAGCATCAATTCTGTGCATGTCAATATTCGCTTTCTGGTGTTGGCTGCTTAATTTTCCAAGCATAAACTTTTGCTTCTTTTCTTAGTTCTGAGCCTAACATTCTTCCAAGAAAATTAAATAATTTATAGATTAAGTACATCATTATTATCATCAATGCCTGTTTTACAACACAGGTGGCTCATAATGCTACATAATAACCAGAAAGGCCTGTTTTCAGAAAGAGCCAGGGACGTCAGGTCCTTCCACAGCCTCTTCCCCAATGACCCAGGCAATAGCCTCGTGGAGATGGGGCGCAGGGGGGAAAGGCCTCATGCACTTAAGAACCTGCCAAGCAAGGTACGCTTCTAGCTCCCGTCTCTCCTAGAACTCGAGCCCAAGAGCCCAACTTCAAGCAAACCTTCAGATGGAGCTGCTCGGTTTCCACATTGTGCACAAAGAAGGAGAACATTTGGCCCCACACGGGGTCCTTGCTGTGGTGGCATGTCTGGGGACAGAAGAGGGGGACAGGTCATTAATGGACCACGTTGCGCACAGTTGGATTCTAACATCTCTAACCTCCAGGTACCCTTGGCAGCGTCCTTCTGTGTCTGCCCATGGACACATGCTACGGCCTGTTAGTATCACAGGGCCAGGCATTGAGACTCAAAGCAAGGAGAGCTTTTCCAAGAAGCCCCACAGGGGCAGAAAATCACACTAGCATGAGAATTCACTCCTTCCACGAGGGGTGGGGGTGGAGGGGAACAGGATTTCTGTTCCTCAGTAGAGAAGCTGCATGAGGGAAGGCTCCCCCCCCCCACTATTTACAAAATTCTAATACAAATTTGAACAAATTCTTTCCATTTCCCTCACCCCCCCTCACCCATCAAATTGTATAACCCCATGATGAATCCCCTCTTCCCCTGCACATCCTCATCCCTCTGCTTCCAGCCTCTCCCACCCCTCCTGGGTCCTTAAACTCATTCTACAGTAACGGTCTCATACAATATTTATCCTTGTGGGTCTGAGTTAGTTCACTCAGCATAATGCTCTCCACTCCCTCCCAAGTTAGGTAGTAATTTATAAAGTTATTGCTCCTGTGTGCTGCATAGTATTCCATTGTGTGAATGGACCATAATTTCCCAATCCATTCGTTTGCGGTTGGACATTTGGGCTGTTTCCATGTTCTTGCGATGGTGAGTAACGCTGCTATGAACATTGGTGTATAAATCTGTTTGTGCCTCAGTTCTCATAGTTTCAGGGTATATCCCAAGTAGTGGAACAGCTCAGCCATATGGAATTTTTATGTTCAGCTTTTTGAGGAAATGAGGGAAGGCTTTACTGCCCAGTCTGGGCTGGAGTCCTAATTCAGCTACTGTCTAGCATGTGACCCTGAGAAATTCACTTTATCTCTGAGTCTTAGACTCTTAGACTTAAAATTACCTTAGAAATAAATAGTACAAAGTGCCTCGATTGTGTTCTGGTACCTGCTAGGTGTTCGATGCTAACTAATTCCCTTCCAATTTGTCCCTCTGAGCCAGTTTTTGCCTAAACTCTCTCCTCAATTTGCAGTTAGCAGGACTTACCCTCTCATCATCCCCTCACGCAAGGCTACACTCCTCCACTCTCTTACCTTGCTCGTGTATATCTTCTTTCCTATAGATAGCTTGACATAAGAAGAAGGGTCTCGACTGGCCTTATTCTGTGAAGGCAAAAATCCACATTGACCCTGATGGCACCCCCAGTGTCAGCTATAGACACCCACATCCCCTGGAAGCATCATTGGGATTGAGGTGGGCCACTTGCATTCCCCAGGAATCCCCGAGGCCCTCTGGGTCACCATGATCAGCAAGTGCCAGGGGCAAGACTGGCCCCAGAGGGAGAAGTTCCAAGTTAAAAGGCCAGAGGCCAGAGCAGAGCCTGGCTGGGCAGAGGGTCTTGTTCTGCGGGACCCAGAGCACAGGCTGATGGGAGAAGTCACATTCTGGATCTTTCTCTGAGCTATGTGACATAGACACATCACCGTGTGGATCCTCTTTGTATGTTGCTGTTGTTGATTGCCTACGAGTCAAGCACGACTCATAGCGACCCTACGAACAAAAGGCCCGAAGCCCCTCTACAACTATCAACATTTCTCCAAGTTCAGAGTTGCCGAAGGCATGTTGTTTAGCAAGTGGATGCCACTCCTGCTTCCAAACTTATCATCATTTCTCAAAGTTCATAGAGTTTCCGCAAGCATGTTGTGTAGGAAGTGGATGCCACGCCTGCTGCCTCTTTGTATAATGGCAATAAAAGCCATCGACAGTTATCAGAGGTTCAGGGATAATGAACGTTAGGGATGAATTGTCACATGATGGACATGGCACAGGCTGCCTTTGGTGTCCCCAGGCTGTGTGTGCAATAGACCTCGGCCAGCCCAGAGGGCGCAGGGCTGTGGTGACCAGGTGGGAGGAGCTGCAGCCTGCTCTCTCTCTC